CTTCTGGCGCACGACCGCCACATGTTATCAACTCATTTTGATTGCCTGTTCCCCCATTTGGATCCATCCTAGAGCCAGAAGCATACACGGCATATGCTGAAGGCTGACGACGGCGCACAGTGATTTCCGGTTCAGACGCGGAATAGGCGTCTGCCTCTGTAAACCCCACACCGCCAGGAGGAAGCCTCCGGCCGCGTGTTTGGGTGTCGCTAAAGTCGCTTTGTTGACTTTCTGCAGAGACCTGGCGTTGCAGGCTCAGGCTCCAGAAACTACGTTTATTCGCTAGGCTAGGCGGAACGGGTGGTTCTCGCGCAGCCACCGATCGCAACTTCGGATGGGTCCTGACTTTCCTGGGGGGAGGGGGAGTGAGAGGGAAAGATTTTGTGACTTGTGCAGGCCACAAAGGCCAGATGGAGTTGGATGGAGATGTGATTGTAATTGATGAAGAAAGTGGTAAATATGGATCGCTTGATGTACCTTGAGTGGGAGGGAAGGGGTATTCATAGCGCTGTGTCCCAAAATCAAAGGGAGTCCCAGTAACCTGAAGCATCCCAGACGAATGTCAGGATCGTGCAGTTCCTCGAGAACACATATATTAATCGAGAACAACGAGAACAGGGTTTAGGTGATTATGACCGCCACTCCACTACACGTGTCTTGGATCAATAGAAACTTACCTCCCCGGAGGAGCTAGATGATAAACTGAATCCAGAGTCCGAGTGAGACGCCTCAGATGGAGAAACCTGGGGAGGAGGAGCTGGGGCATGTTCCTCGTGGACGATCTGGTCTGGAGAAGGAGGCAGCGAGGACGCCTCTTCCGCATATTGGTTCACCTGGGACTGCACTGAAGCTATCCGTGTGTCACTTAAGTGTGACATTCAGTAGTCCCTTGCAAATTTGAATGTCGAGTCTCGACAGAGGAAGAAGAAGACGGAGAACCCGTCTCAAAGCAAGTCAGCGGACCATTTACATTTCCTGCAAACGCTGGCGGAACGTGTGCGGGGAATGTGACGCTGTGCGTGGGCCACGATCTTGCCTTCATCCGTCACGTCACTCTCTAGAAATTTCCGGGTCACTCACTTCTTTGTCCAGACCTTCGTTGGCTGCAGCAAAGTTTCATCGTAAACGGCGTTACTACGAGTCCGACGTGCCACGTACAAGGGGGTCTGAACCATTATTTCAGAAAAAGGATATCAACAATTGCAGAAAAATATGTTGAATAGCCAAGTGAATGATAATTTGATACACGACAACCTGAACAGTATCTACTTTGGAGGTTTCGGGTGATTAACTACTTGTGACTCGGTGATGTCTTGAATTTCGTTACGTTTACAGAACGTGTATTCGGTTGCTAATACGTGGCTGACTAGGAGCATGATGTAAAAGCCAGCCTCTCCTGGAACCGCGGCTCAAAGCGATCAAGCTTGGATCGAGGGTGGCATTTATATCATTTCACAACAAACTATTACTGTCCTTACCTTGAAAACAAATCATGCCTGTACGTCGGGTCGACCCACCTCCGCAGCCTCCAGGTCTCTTCTTACGTTTCTGGCTTTTCTTCGTCAAACTCGCCCACTCATTCACAGGCATGTTCAAGTCAAAGGGACCTTCTACAACGCTGCCAACGCCAGTGACAGCGGGAAGTCAGCCTGCCCGTCTCAAACCGCCTGTTCCCAGACGACTCGAGCTAGTAGATCTCAAGCTATCTAACAGGCACACTCCTCAGCGAAGCTCCCAGAAAAAAGGGCTCTCAAGTCAGTCTCCGGCAATGCACACTATGGCAGAAGAAATCCATCAAGGCACCCTCTATCGTGATGGTATCGGTAATCAGAATGAAGACTTGCGAACCAAGAAACATGCAACCTCCTCGTTTCCCGGTTTCATCGGACGAACAGTTTCCCCTGGCTGTGTAGCTGAAGGTAGCACTCTTCGTACACCAACTTCGCTCCGCAGTTTTGCCCAGCCTTTAGATCGGGACTTGTGCAACAGCATCACGCCTGGCGTAGCTGAGATATGGAGTCCAACTTTGGTATCGAGCAGCCCTCTTCCACCCCGAAGGCTCTCATCGCGTATCGCTTCCATCACAAATGGATCGGTTCTAGGCTCAAGCCCAGTGGGACCTCATTTAGCCAATATACCTCGTTTAACTGGCCCTCGTCTTCGTATCTCTTCGTCGGCGAGACTCACTCAAGTGAACGCATCTGAGTCGGTTCATAGCGTCAGCGCATGCCCGTTCGCAATTCGACGTGGGTTCTCAGGAGCATCTGTGGGGATACCTGACCCCTCGATCCGTCTTGAATCCCCTTGGAGCCCCTCGGACAAGACGCTACCTCATGATGTATGGATGAATTCAGAAGGTGTCCTAGCCAACGTTCGAGGCACTGTTTCCGTCTCATTCAATGCTACGAAATTTTTCCAAGACGATGTTGTAGCCCTCCAACACGAGCCTTACACGACGCTTCCGTGTGCTCCTTCTTCTCGGTTCTCGGACGACGGAGACGACTTTATATCCGTGTATTCAAATATCTTCGACCTCCCGGAAGAAGAGAAATATGAAGAAGGATCCAGCAAAGGTACATCTCAAGGTGACTCCTTCGATGTTAATGGTGCAGACAAGGGCTCTCCTCCCGGCGGAGCAGCAGGCGTTTTGGTTGCGACAACTCCTGTCGATGACTCCGCTGTTATCAAGTATGATGCTGCCCGGAATTCTACTGAGGATGCTGAGGTCGAGGACTTGGACAAGTGTGACACATCATCAGAGCTTGAAGGAGGTTTCTTCTATGTCATCTCCCAGTCAAAGCTTGATCTGACCTCGGATGACCACACGTCTGGTCTCGCCTACATGCCTTCCTCGAAGCACCGAGAAGCACATTCAGCCAGCGTTGCGTCTGAGCCTATTGACCACCCCGATCGCGCCACCAAACGTTTCTCAGTTCCATGTCTCCATTCCATCCGGGAATTTGATCAGAGCTCACTTCGCGCATCAACATCAGATTCTTCCCCTTCGAAACATTTCACTGCCGCAGAAAGCAGGAGCTTGAGAGCACTCGCTGACATTATATCTCTACTGGATTTTACTGCGATGGAGGCTGCGGAGACTACTGGCGTTCCTGAGATCTGTGGGTAAATCTTACTTGGTACGGGCCGATTGATGACACCTGTTCTACTGTATGATTCCATTCTTTTTACTCTATTCGACTCGATTATTCTGAATTCTGAAACGTTGTGGGCGAGAGCTTTTTCATAAAACCTGGTCAAGTTAACATCTGACCAATCTAGAAGCTTTTAGCTGCGCCGGCGCCTCCTTTTCCTTCAGACATGCATCGAGTTCTGTGAAAAGGTGCTGCGTATAAAAACAATTTATAGCTCGCGACTGGACATTTAATGTGACAATCATCGTCTGGCTTGAATCAAGTCCGTAGTTGATGCAGGGACTTGCATACACTAAATGATAATCTTATAGCCGCAATGAGATAACACCCAAAAAGGAATTCTGAACTCCGACATACTAGTGGAGCATTACGTTTGATTTGGATTTCTGGAAGGCTGCGGCAGTCTTTCCTTCATCCCACCCCAAAACATGTTCTCCTCTTTATTTTCGTGAGTTGGATGTTTAGTCTGTGATTTTAGTCTAAGGGATTTCGTAGAACAGCACCCCCTGTCGATCCGAAGGCCCAGAACTTATTCCCTGTCTCGGAAAGTTCAGATCTCCTCGGGGGGCTGGAGGCGAAGGATCTTGAGTGGACATGTGCAGGAGGCTTTACAGCAGAGACTCAGATTTTTTATCAGTTCTTACAGGATGGAACGATGTTGATGTGTCAAGTGATTCACTCGTCAATCGGGTGAGCTTTTGTTCGTTTGCGCTTGTTCGATTTGACTGATTATTCGGCAGTTTGTGGTATCCTACTATTCAGTTCACATGCAAGATCTATAACCCCACGACGAAAGAAACGATTTGGCGTTCTGTCAATGTTACAAACTTTACAACCGCTCCACCTGGTCTCGACAAGAGATCTAGCAAGGCAGATCAATTCTCCATCACCCACAAGCCTTCCTCGGATGATTCACATGCTGAAATGTACACCATTCGCGCAAACCTCTCAGACAACTTGCAGATATCACTCGATGTCTCACGTCCCTCTGCTGTACCCGGGTTCAAGATTGGCAAGGGGCCAAAAGGGGGATACTCGTACTTTGGGTCAGATCAACAGAAACCAGATGGCTACGTCGTCCATCGCTTCTGGCCTCGTACTAAAGCCAGTGGTCACATCATCCACAATGGCCGTGCAATCGTTGCTGAGGGCCACGGCATGCTCGTTCATGCTATCCAAGGCATGCGTCCCGACTTACTTGCATCGCGATGGAATTTCGCGCACTTCCAAAGCGACGCCCATGACGGTGTATCTGCAATCCAAATGGAATTCAAAACTTTGGACACTCATGGTCGCCATGGACCTGGCTCTGGCGGAGTCGTAGTCAACGTTGGTTCATTAGTGCTTGGTGGGAAGCTAGCTGCGGTCACAGCAGAGACTAAATGGGCAGGCGAAGGACAGTCTATGAAAGCTGTGATGTCGCGTGCCCATCACCTCAACCCTGTCCATGATCCGGATACTGGCTACATGCAGCCTACTGCGGTTGAGTTCCGATGGGCAGGCCCATCCCTGCTGCCTGGTGTGGATGGTTCTGTCAATGCATCTGTGCATCTTGATGTCGGCAGTCCATCTTCACCTAAGGGTTTAATTGAGAAGGTGGACTTCCTTGCAGAGATCCCGTATGTGATCAAGACAATGGTCAGTTACGTTGCAGGCACAAAGCCATATATTTATCAGGTAATTGGGAGGTGTTGTATTCAACTTATCCGGTAGCTAACAGCGATCTGATAGTGGCAAGACAAGGCCAAGCTTGTTGTGCGTGGTCCAGATGCAATTATTCCCGGGCTTTCCGAAGGATTAGATGTAGAAGGGTTGCTATACACAGAAGCCTCGTTCATATCTTAGATGCCTATTCATCTTCACATCTACATTTTCCCCTGCGTGTAAGTATACTGTTGCTTTAATGTAATCTCGTGGAATGCTCGGCATTCTTTTTACTTCTGAGGGTGGGAGCCGTATGATTAGCTTCCTAGGCGAATGTAAATCACAGAGTAGATGCTCTTTCTTCTGAACGGCTGACAAAAGAGCAAGAGAAGTGTATGGGTTGGCTGAGAGGCGGTGATAGTCAGAAATAAACGAGGCAGTATAAGAATTTCACACACATGGCTATACCGGCGGTAAATTCTTTCTTCACATCGATTTCTTCACCCAAGATGTCCTTCGACTTCACAATGCGAAATGTCGCGAGAATATTCACAATGGCGATCCAGATCACCGCCTCCGCTGTGAATCTCCCTGGGCCTGTTGTCAATCTTATGAGCTACCTGATTGAAGCCTCGATCATGATGAGGATTGCATACATATACGACGACCGAGCCCAAAAATTGGGTCAGCGGAGATGGGCTGGAGGTTCGAGTTGTTTTCAGCTGTGAGGTGCCGTTCAGGCCTAAAGTCTTCAACATCGGCCCCGTGTGTTGATTCATCTCTGCTCATTGCCCTTCACAGATAATATCAGCCAGTATTACAAATATGCGAGTTCCGCGTACAAACCAAACGTTGTTTATCACCAATGCGCCTGCAATATTTATTTTAGTCAGTTCTGAGTACTTGATAAATTCGTCCTCACCCTTGGGAATGAAGCAATCATCATAAACATCGTCCTTTGAAGTAGCATGGGGTATGCCTGTCCCTACGTTAGCAACAAGAAACCCGAGTATGATAAAGGCGACTAACCCAGAGGAACCACAGGAATCCATCTCAGCAGCTCTCGAAGGATCGCATCGACGTACGGTAGCAGCGGTCGGTCGTCGAATTCTGGCAATCTGCTAGTTACCCCTATGACAGAATCAATCTCTGCCTGACCCTTCGCCTGCACCTCTGGATAGAGAATCATGGCGAGAATGAATGTATGCAGCATCGATGAGCTCTTTTATCTACTTGTCAATAATAGCACTCCCAGCAAGGGGAAAAAACATCTACCGACTCAAAGCCAGCTGCGATGATATTCACAGAATATTGAGTATACTTATGCCCAGGACACGGGTCATAGATGAAAAGTTACCTATAAAGGCAGTAGCTGCCGCCGCTTTTATAGCGGCTTCTTGTTTATGTTGGTCTTCCTTCTCGTCGATTTGAGCTAAGCAATCAGATACCATGGAATGAGTGGCCAACCCGGCATCCTAGTGTGTGCACTTTAATCATCGAGTAGCACTCGGATTGTTAAGGACATACAATATTCTTCTTGACCAGATTGAACGGCACATTGAGCACTTGTCCTGCTAATTCTCTCGCACGAGCAGCGTCACGTTGAGATCCTAGACCAGGGAGCCACGCAGGCAGGCGAGCGACTAACGTGAATGAGCGGCATTCTGGAACAGGCTTTTTTTGCTTACGTATTGGAAAAACGGACACGATGGCGCTACGCTCAGGGGAGAGTGCCTTTGCGAGTATATCGACAAGTTCTTTGACATTGGCAACTATTGGATCGTTGCGCGGAGCTACATCGTACCCGTAGGTAAACGCCATAACGTTCGAGGCAATGAATCTAGATTATTATATATTAAATTTCTTCGCGATTGCAATGTGATTTACCTCTGGATATGGATTTCGAAATGTGATGGATCATCAAGCAGATCCTTCAGCAATGCTCGAACTCTTTTCGTGTGGATGTGATGATAGCGTGATGCACTCTCCAAGCGAAGTGCATGGTGAAACATCTTGCGGTGAAGTCTCCAGTCAGTGCCGTGGTAAGGCAGCATGACGGTACTAAAATCGAGGCCAAAACTGGATTATGATGAACGTTAAATGGTGGTCAAAATATAGACCAAAGCATACAGCTCGTTTGTTGCGATAAAGGGGCGATCAGAATATATGGCGGAACGTTGATCCATGAGTGCTCTTGCAACCTTTTCCGAATTGACCACGATAAAGTCAAGTCCAAGGAGGCGAAAATAGATCAGATCGCCTGTATTGGGGTGAGCACGTCCCATTTACTAGAATGTACCCGCTGCACACCATATTTTTTCCTCCAGTGTGTATATGTTAGCCATGGTCGAGCAATATTCAATTGGAGGAAGTTGCCCATGATGGGAAGCGGTTTCGGACCTGGGGGGAGTGGTAGTCTAGCCATTCTCTCAAACCTTGGAATAACCAAGGCAATAAGAACGCAAGCTACTAACACCCAGACAACGATATTGATGAGACTGTTCATGTTTGTGGGGGAAGTGACGCGAGTGGCGTATGCAATTTATACGTATCTTGGAGACCCTTCGGTACCGTGGAGAATTATGGTCAGCAGCAAATCTTTCTTTTCAGTGTTGAGTAATTAACTCAAGGCATAAATATTCACTCGGTGTAATGGGACGGACTGCAAGGGGAACCAAGGCCAGACCTCTATAGCGGGAGGCTACGGCTCTATCTATCGAGGACACGCGCTTGCCGAGTACGAGCCGGGACACCTGCTACTGCGCTCGGACCTGCCTCTGATGGGACGCCCCGCTCCGTCGGATATGTTTAGTCCTGCAGCTGAAGTCGAGGAATAGATCAACGATTTGATGCGTGGTTCAAGGGGTCAACATCATTTTCGTGCCGATTGCCACGGTAGGCGGATTGAGCGACATGGATTGGTTTATAAAAGACTGGTGTATTGAGCAGAGAGATTTCCCCACAAGTACTCTGGGGGTGAATAGTAAACACATCAGTGCCTCTTGATATTATTAGAATAACACTACCCCGGAAATCATCACCTCTTGGAAAACCCACTCAATAGTCAACGCAACATATCGTTTGATTGAGGGATTGCATTAGATTCCATGTCATGTCAGCTGCCGCATCTGAAACCTGAGTCTAGTGTCCGTTTGATGGTTCGATCATTTGTTGATAGGTGACGGCACTGGCCGGTCAGTCGGTATCAAGGCCAATAAGAATGTCCAAACCCACCATTGCTGACCTCGTAAATGATCCGCGCTTCAAGACTTGGCCCAAGCAGATCGCACACAATCACCGCGGCCCGTTGTAGCCAGACGATTCCTCTGTTTTCCACAGCCACCCGAAGCCAGTAGCAGCACCTATGTATCCTCATCGAACCACAACGGCGGTACAGAATTCTATACAAGTGAGTCGAATGAGTCATGAGCTACCTGTGTTTTTGTGAAATGAAAAACAGGACGCACTCTTTCCCATATCGTCGCTAAAACCTCGCCAGAAATGCCCAATGTTTTATGCGAGATCACGCCAAGTCAATGGCACGAGAAATTCCTCGGACGGATGTTTAACTCGTTTCAAAAGTAAGCCAAGATATCTTACAGAGATTAGTCCTAGGTAACGCGTTTTCACGATTACCCCGCGGAATTCGGCAATTTCATCATACACCCCTGGTGAGTAATAAACAAAAAAGTCTGAATCGAAACGGGGAAATAAGCAGAAGCGGTCACATCGGGAGCAAGATCCTGAAGATTGTGAACCAAGTACTCACGGATCCGAAGAACTCCGATCCCTTCCCCTTGATATCCCGACAAGGGATTTGACTGCTTGAACCTGGATCGGTGATGTAGATGATCTGAAATAGATGATCGATAGTTTGCTCCGGCGTCGGATAGAGTGTCATAGCGGAGGAGAAAGACGGTGATGTAGGCGCGCTCCGAGAGGAACTCCAATCGATATCTCCACAACCTTCCACAGCTTCCACTCTTTGCTATAAGGAGCGCTGTCATGTGCACTTGTAATGGTGTCATAGCTATCACGTAAAATGGGACACGAGGAGCCTCGGGTATTACGGTTTGGGGGTTGGCGTAGGTTGGCGTTCATCGAAAGCTACTTTCAGGAACGTGACGCTGAAACGTCTTTGAGTTGTACGAAGTACAAAATATATTGCCCGTCACCGCGAGATGGTCAACACAAGCGGATTCGACAAAGACATAAAGAAGTTACATAGTCAGTATTCCCTGCCTCACTTTCCTGACTGGTCCGTAGAAGTATGCCAACATGCCACAGAAGGATATTCTGCAAGGAAATGGTACAAGATCCGGCAACCATCAAGAGATGCGTCAAAGTAACGACCACTCAGCGATAGTACACGCCAGTGCTTCCGAACAGCTGAAATTCGAATTCGTGCTGCAAAAGCGGAGGTGGGCCCCGAAAGTCAATTGGGTCACGAGGCTCCAGCTGGCAATTGGCACCCTTTGAGTCTTAACACCAGACTGGCAGAGACTTCAAATTTTAGATGCGAGTATATATATTGAACCTACTGCAGGGATATCCACAGCACGTATGATTTGATTGAATAAAGCTGGCAGACCCCAGTCACATCAATAGCAAAGGCCCTGGCCGATCGGTGATGATCAGCAGCGCGGTCACCAACATTAATATCGGTCACTGGCCATGGCAAACAACCCGCAAAGCTAATAATAGCCCAATATGATTAAAGTCGCGTGCGAGGGATGATTTATGAAGACCTCTTGCAAGGTGCTGGCTGACTTTTCGACTTGAGTGACAGGAGTCGGTGAAAGCGGCTGAAAGCGGGAACGATATGGCACAGCCAAGCCCAACCGATGGGCACAGCCACACATACCGTCATGACTTCGGTAGCGGCACCGCAGCTTCAAGGCTATCAAATCCTATAACTTGATCAAGGAAATACACTGGTTCGACAGAACCATGTACAATGTTTCGCCCAGTCACGCCCAGAGCTCCTTCAATTTCCTCGATATCCTGGCACTTCCCTTCAGCTGGCGCTCGAGCAGCAAGAGTACTAATCACAGCACGTTCAAGTTCATATCATGTATTCCATCCCACGCCAAAATTCAGCGGTCTTGTCCATGTTCAAGTTAACGATTGTATGAGGAGGCAAATATGGCATGCACAGAGAGGAATTGCACCATTTCATTCTTCCGGGCCAAACCAGGGACTTCCTCTCATACCGATGCTATTGGGAGCCTTCAAGGCATGTTCACCTGAATAACTCTTGCAAGTCCTATACTTAGTTTTTCAGGCATCTACTACCATAGAGGTAGCGCGTACCACTGCCCGTATTGCACTTACATTCCTGCCCCTCATCCTTTTCAAAAACCGCTGGTCAAAGAAATACCTCAAGCACCACGACAAATTTCATCCTGGTACACCGGTCGATGAAGAGAAAAAAGCCGCGCTTTTAAAACGTATACGTGCAAGGACGCTTGTTTTTAACGTACTTTTGTTTGTTCCTGTCACATTATTCTGGTTGGCAATTCTAGCAAGCGCCGAGCAGACACCTATCACAGGACGGTATGTCATGTATAGTATTCAATTTCTGCCTATCAGCTAAGTTGATTTACAGATGGCGGCTTATCGTTCTATCGCCCGAAGAGGAGGATGAGATAGCTGCGCAGCTCAAAGGCCCGAATTGGTATCACGCTGTCACTGAAATTCTCTCAACAGACGGTCAACTCAAGTTGATTCCAGCCACTGATTGGCGATATCAGTGGGTACGTGACACCTTACGGCGATTAGAGGTTGGCATTCCCGTATTGCAGCGCGAACAAGAGTTGGCTTCGCATTGGTTGGATACAACTCCTGATCAGCCGCCATTACCTCCACCTGCAGAGTATCCCCTACGACCTCGGCCCCGAGCCACGGACACCATGAGAAGGTGGTCGGAAGGTCTCTGTGGGCGAAGCTCACCTCATTCAGCTCATGTCATCGCTGGACCACCATATTCACTGCTTATCGTTGATAAACCCGATGCGGCTAATGCATTTTCTTACGGCTTTGGGCCAGATGGTGCTTGCGGCATTGTGGTTTACTCCGGATTCATTGACAACATCCTTTCGAAAGCTCCTTCTACAACTTTCTCCTCCGGCTACACGCCACAAGGTCTACCTGAAGAAAGCTCGTGGTGGGCACACCTTTTCGGTTCGCTCTTTATTTCGCCATTATCCACATTACCACCCCATCCAGTGCCCACAGAGCAACAAACAGCCGAACTCGCCATTCTCCTTGCCCATGAAGTTGCACACCTCGTTCTCTCGCATCACCTGGAGACGCTCTCATCCGTCACTATCATGGTCCCTGCTTTGATTTCCATGTTTGCTGACTTCACACGTACCCTCTTATTCCCCGTAACGATGCTCTTTGGGCCGTTTGTCAATGACGCAGTTGCCCAGCTGGGTAAAGTTGGTTCTGGGGAACTGACCAAAATAGGGGAATACTGCACGAGTGTGCACCAAGAGATAGAGGCGGATGTTGTATCCGCCAGGATCCTTGCGCATGCCGGTTTTGATGCGCGCCAGGCAGTAGCATTCTGGGAACACAAACAGAATGCGCCTCAAGCTGCTGAATGTTCTCTGACTGGTCGCCCGGAGACAAGCAATTCGAGTTGGGCGCTTACACGACAGATCATGGGTTCCTCACATCCTGTGAATGAGGTTCGCATAGAGAAGCTTAAGAGCGAACTCGTTCGATGGGAACTGGAAAAACGCGTCGCGGAGAAGAAGCGTATTATGGGAGAGCCGGAACGAAGCTCGATATTGGCATTCGTTTGAGAAATAGATCCTTTTGATATATTTTATCTCTCTCCAAGTCCACTGATGAATGAGGGAAAGATACAGCAAGTGTACTCAATTTATTCAAGTCATTACTACTGTAAATAAAGAATGATTGGGAATCTGAATAATACTTGTCCGTCCGCGAATTTCTTGTTTCTAACGTATGCAAGGACGACAGTTGTTCCCGTAGAAGTGACTCCCATGTGCACGCTCTACCTGCACTCCACCGCTCCTGCCAATGTGCTTGGCTGTCTGCGCACTAGTATGTGTCAATGCCGTTTTCGTATGTTATCCTGATGACAATTATTCGGGAGAGGTACAATAAAAACAGCCAGAAGCGAGTCCAGCGTCCAGCATTTTTTATCGTTGCATCAGGATTATCGTATTAACAATGGGAAGTGCGGCGGAGACGGAGACAGCAGCTTGTGCTTGCGGAGATTGGGCTTGAGCCGCACCATTAGAGTGTGCTGTGGCGTTGCTATCGGGAGGACATGCGGCAGGCTTTCCGTGTTTCAATGGAATGATTTTTATCTGTTTTCTCTTGCTGATGCATTCCTCTACGTAATATGAGATGGGTTGGATATTCGAGAAGGACAAAGGTGACACACACTTAGCATACGGAATATCGACAACTCCTGAGGAACGCTCGCGGAACTCGATATCTTCACCGCCTGGTCTGCCAGAGACGATTTCGAACCCAGTGGAAAAGGCGGGGTCGGGATGATGTATCATGGGCATCGGGGTGTATGAGACTGAATAGAGAAGACAACCGGCCACCAAGGGTGCTTAGTACATGCGATGTTCATGATCGAGGATGGAGGCGGTGTCATACAGAAACCTGAATATCGAGGTCAGGAAATAACAGCACTGGATGAGACATTAACGACATACCTGAGTGCGATCTGGTAGGTCGTCGGAAAAACTTTGGTACCCGGCGCTGATTGGCTGACGGACTGGAGGTCGTGTCATCGGCCTGGAAGATAGGTTTGAGTGCAATAGGCACGAGTGTGTCACGTACAGAGATGGAATGGCTGAACGGGACGTCATGTTGGCATCAGCCCTACATATGTTTAAATGATTGATGAGTTCCGCTTTATGAAAGTGTCACGTACAGCGAGTACCAACAAGTTGACATAGTCATCCAACACTGCGAGTTTAAAGTATGGCTTGATTAGGATATTACTCAAACACTGCCACCGATGGCAGCCTGGGTCACGACTCACGGCTCACGATCCACGAATATATCAAGTCCACTTCCTTTTCCAAATGACCGCCTCCTTGCGAGTACATCATGCATGTGGAGAACAGTACGTTCGTGCTAATGACGGGGGTTGTATTACAGTATTCTTTTGCTTGAATATCATTGTGATGTGCATGTTGCGAGTCTGAAAAAGGCGTGAGAAGGATCAAATGAACGGTTAAGTATATGCAGGTGTCACATCTGAGCATGACCAGCAGCTACACCAAAGTTATGGGAAGTTTGTAATTTATCCTTCAGGCCATCTGAGGCTACGAAGCTTGAGGTTAGTCCATTCTTTCGCTCGATCCCACGTCAAGATTTAACGGCACGTTGCAGCCTTGTGGATGATTGATATATCAACCCTAGGCTGTCGCGCTCGTCTTTATCACTTCACGTAAAAGGGTTTACACTGTCCCTGGTCGACACATTCTTTCTCCTGGGTGAAAATTGTATTCCGAGACCGTATATATGACTGCTGCTTTCTCCCGGGCCAGGGCTAAACCACCCTGCTGGTTGTTCTCACCGCTGCTGCTGCCAGATATTAAGATACACCTTCCCGACATCCCCTCATCTTCCCAAATTTTCGGTCATGTCATCCTATACCCCACAGACAGATTTGTCACTTGAACGGTCTCGTCTTATCGGAATAATTCTGGGAGGTGTATCCTACGGTGCGTTTTCGGCCCACTCACGAGGATTCGGTAGTTGACCTCTGTACCATGATAGGCGTATACCTTCTCCTTACTGTACAAGCGGTGACTGCTCTCATGCAACGTCCCCGACGTGGGCAGAAAATTGCAAACAATCGTCGCATGCTTCTTTGTTACACCCTCATCACGTTCGCACTTTCGACGATATGCTTTGCTTGCAGTACCAAATATACCGAGGTGATCTGGATAACCCTTCGCGATGCACCTGGTGGACCCGTTGCGCTGATTGAGAACTCAATGCACTACCGTATCAACTTTGTGGCGATACTCTGGCAAGCACCTTTATCTATCCACCTACACACAACGTTGACAATCCCATCTAGTGGTTACGTCGCGGAGTGGTTCATGCAAGCACTGCTCGTGAGCCGAATAGTTTGCCGTATGTGTAAGCCTGACCCCTGAAATACTTAGCTTTACCGATGTTTCGTGCTATGGGATTGGGCGAGACATGTGATGATCCCCATGTTCGTCGTCTATATCGGCATGATTGGTGCAGCTAGATTATTTACAAAACGGTCGTAGTTGCTGACATCTTGAGCAGCAGCAGCCATCGTCGTGTTGGTCCAGGCGGGCACCGGGGCTTCATTTTACACTATCAACGCCACGCTTGCATACCTCGCCTTCTTAGTGGCAAACACTGTGCTTTATACCATTCTCGTGGCGAAACGCCTGCTCTCCATACGAAGCGAGATGAAGACGGCGTTGGCTGAATATGACTCTAGCATCTATGATACCATCATCCTCATGGTCGTCGAGTCCGCCATGGCATACACTGTCTTCGTCATCATCTTCATAGTTGCATTTGCTGTGCATTCAGACACTGTTTCCACGCTATGCTTCCTATCCATTTACCAAGTTCAAGTAAGCATGTAAAGACCTGATTTATCTGTGTCTCTGACACTGGCTTCTTTTTCCAAAAAAATAGGGCATTACGCAGTTGTTCATCATCATACGCGTGGCACGAGGGAGGGCAGTTACCCATGCTTGGTCGACCCGAAATGCTCCAGCGGCACCTACGACTCTGGCGTTTGCAGGGACCACATCAGAAGGAACCAACGCAACTACGCCAGAGCAGGACAGTGCCAGTGAATCGTGTTCTGTTTCGGCAAAGTCGGCAGAGGCAAATGTATAGCGTACCACAAGCGTGCCGTACTTGATTTATTCCCTAACTTTACTTATAACCTCTTTGTAATTTTATAGTCAATTTCTAGTTTCAATTGATTACCACTTTACTTATGATATGCGGTAGGTAGATAAGTACTGTCCACAAATACATCCGTCGTGAAATATCTTCGACGAAGACCTGAGCACAGTGGTATAAAGTTGGTTAAAACTTCTGTGAAGTGTATGAACCGTGGGGTGAACCACGTAGTCGCGGGTACCTCCCTCTTGGCGAGGAAATAAAATGTTCGCGGATCCGGGAAAGTATCCTACCGATCGCTGGATGGCCTGGGCTTCTAGTCCGTCAAAAGTTCGATTAACGGTGATGGTTCGCATGAAAACTCATATCTTCCTTTGGCACCCTCTCGCTCTTGCGTCGAGTGAATCTGTGTCTGATTGGTCCAAGTGGGACTTTGCCGTGAGTGACACTCTGGTTGGGAGTAGGAAAAACTGAAGTGAGAAAAAGATATGTAAGTCTGCGGAAGAGTGTGAGTGCGAAGGGGTGTGGAGACCACTGACCCCTGGGGGATATAAGTGCGCTGATGAATCAAGTATTCGTCAGCGAGGGTTATACTATAGAGAATCTGAGATGATAGATGATAGATATAGCGATACTAATGATAACAAGTGCGAGACTGAGGCTTCGAGACTGGATGTGATTGCCTGGCAGTAGGGATTATGCTGTAAAATAGTAAGGGTCCTCGGTTGTCGCTGGGCCGAATGGAATGCGAAAAAAGGAGGCAGAAGGGAGTGGCGTCGTGTTTGACAGCGTAGGGTCTGAATGACGAGAACGAGAGTACGAGAATGAGTGAACGGTTGGACGAATTGGTATCTTGTAGACAGTATAAGAAGAGACATGTGTAATTATTGACAAGTGCCGAAGTTGTGGGCTGCGAATAGGATGCAAACACATCGGGGTGAACGATATTTAAAAGAGGTTTATATGTTGTACAAAATGTGAAAACAATATTTGATATTTAAACTAACATAAAGATGGGTGCACGACTTCAAATTTTGGTGGTGTTTTGTGTGTCATCCAAAATATCAAATATTCACAACCATATTCCCACAGACAATATGTCAACAAATATAATAAATATAATCAGATTTTCCATGTCTGCTTCAATTTAAAGTTTGATTCTTACATAAAACTTTGGAGAAAACTTGAAGTTTTGCCAAAGCTTGACATTTAAATCGAGTTTTAATGTCATGTCATCTGTAAAACTTCAAGTTTTCTCCAAAGTTTTACATGGAAATTGAACTTTAAGTTGAAGCAGACATGAAAAATCTGACTATATTTCTTATGTTTGTTGACGTATTGTCTGTGGGAATATGGTTGTGAATATTTGATATTTTGGATTACACACAAAACACCACCAAAATTTGAAGTCGTGCACCCATCTTTATGTTAGTTTAAATATTAAATATTGTCTTCACATTTTGTACAACATATAAACCTCTTTTAAATATCGTTCACCCCGATGTGAAATGATGAGAACGAGGTGCTAAGCATTATGCGGGTCGGTACCGACGAAAGATAGCTGTGAAATAGAGTTGGGGACTGTGCTGCTCGCTGACACTGGTAAGGTGAGGTCGTGGTTGTGGTAAGTGTTGACTCGGCAACTTCTGACGGGCCACCTCTTCAACACACATATGACGTCACTTGTGCAGCCTTTTCCGCTGACGGAAAGCTGCTATCCACAGCTCCATCAGTAAATTCACACATTGCTTGGCAGACCTTTTTTCAAAAATTAAAACTTATTTTTAACTTATTGACACTTATTCACCTTTATTCACTTGGCTGTTTGTTTTCACAAGTCAAAAAAGGAAGCGCATGACACACAAGTGCCGAAAAGTCAGAAAAGTTAGTTCAAGTATTCAAAACAAAAATAAGTACAGCAAGTAAAATAAGTAATTCAACTTGGTATCTAATCTGTGGCGGGTAGCTCATGACCCATATATTCCTGCACTAGATATATGGGTGTAGGTACAATGTATGTCAGTAGTAGCAACACAATAACGAGATTGATGTGTCAGAGATCTTTTACCTACATCATAATGGTCACGTGTTACAATGTGCCTCAAAATAATTTTGACCTGATTACGAGCTCATTAAATTGCCTTAAGCAGAATTTCAACATTGTCGTGATGCAGTTTGTGCATCAAAATCTTTTCGACTTGATTACAATGCCTAAGGCGGAGTTTAATGACATTCTGATGGCGATTCTGACGGATAAGCTTCGTATTACGATCAAAGGTATGTAATCAATCAGCTCGCTCATCGATCATCATTCGTCTGCTACTCCTCGTATCCCACTAACACATACCCATGCCTAAGTCGAAACAGCGGGCGTCTGACCTCGTGACGTGCAATCTATGCGGAGCAAACATTCGTGCACGTGGTTTAGGATCCCATTCTAAGTCTTGTTCCAAGCAGGAACGGGAACGGCTCGAAGACGAGGAGTTTGCTGACATAGTTCAGAGAGCCGAAAAGAAAGGTGAGTGCTCAATCAGTTGTTCAACGTGCTCGATAGATAGTCTAATTTTTCTTAAAAGAACTTCGAAAGCAGCGCCACAAGATTCGCGATAATTTACGACGTTTTGAAGATGCACAGTTGTCTGCTGGAGGTGCCGGTGAGTGCTTATATTTATGATGGTACTATGCTTTTCTCTGATTGCAATATAGTGAGCGCTACTACGATCTGGGCAGCAGACATTGGTATGTCCCCTTTACTTTAATTTACAATACACTAACGATGTCAGATATGCAAGGGTCACCACCTCGACAACACCCCCCAGCAGACCACAACGCAATTCCTGACTTCAACGATGCTGATGATTGTCGCAATGAGCCCGAACATATTCACAATGAGCCCCGTGAGCTCAATGATATTCGAGTCGAACACCATCCCCACAGCCAACTCCCATCTACTATACACCGCTTTGCTGAATTCTCCCGCAGCCGCCCAACAGAAGAGCACACACCTCGTAACAACTCCCCATGGGAGCCTTTCCGCATGCGGCTCGATTTTGAAGTAGCGGAGATTGCACTCGAAGCCGTGATGACGAAGGATCAAACAAATCGCCTTCTCGATCTTTTTCATCGGTCTGCTACAGGCAATGATTCATTCACCCTGCACAATCATGACGAAGTTTGCTCTCTCTGGGACTTTGCTTCGCAACGTTATACCAGAGTAAGTATTCCCTCATGCTACAACTAACATTATAATAAATTGATCATTAGTATCAAGTTCCAGCATGATACACTATCTGTTCCCTTCGAAAAGGAGGTGTACGAATTCGATATGCACTACCGCCCACTCTTCGACTGGGCGCTTGACTTATTGCGAGACGAACGTCTCGCGCCTCATTTTGTCTTCGATGCGCAACGTCTCTCAAAGTTCAACGGAGAACGGTTTGTACGTTTCATTGACAAGCCGTGGACCGCAGATGCATTTTGGAATGCACAAGTATGTTTCAATGTTTTTATTTGTTACCTGTCCTTGTAAATTAATACTACATAACCGAACTGTTGTATTGTAGTCACAGCTTCCCCCTGATGCCAAACCATTGGCGTTTATTCTCTACGCAGACAAGAGTAAACTGTTGTCATTTGGGACCCAAAAAGGCTACCCAATCATTGCCCGCATTGCCAACTTGCCAGTTCATATTCGTAATGGAAATACTGCGTTAGGAGGTGGTCGTGTTGTGGGGTGGCTGCTGATTGTTCGTGTATCAAGCTTGCTCATTGAGTAGTGTTGTTAATTGTATTAATTCAGGTTGTCGAGGATCAGAAGCACATGAAAAAGAAGAAGTACGTGGACTTTAAAAATGCTGTCTGGCATACGTCTTTCTACCAGCTTCTGGCCTCGGTCGAGAAGCACTCGAAAACGGGCTATTGGTTCGAGTGTGCGGGCGGAATCCAATGTTGTCTCTGGCCATTGATTTTAATTTTGAGTGCTGATTACGAGGAACAGTGAGTTGCAGTATCACTATAGTTTGCTACTCTACTGCGAGGCTCATGAATCACAGATGTATCATGGCGTTGATCCGGGGACTTAAGGGTAAGTTCCCATGTCCAGTTTGTTTAGTTCCACAGGACGAGCAGTCCATTCTCCATACCCACGAGTTGCACACATGCCACCAATCCAAAGATGTCCTTCGTCTCGCAAGATCCATGCCCTCCGAGAAGGAAAAGGAGGATCATCTGAAGGCTTTCTCACTCCGAGATGTTGATGTGAGCTGTTTCCGCCATGATAACTACTGCTTGCTGATGTAATTCAATTGTAAGAACGTCTTCTCGAAAATTCTTTATACTGATGTTCATCGTGCGCTATCGGTGGACCGCTTGCATACAAACAAGGAAGGATTATGGGGTGACCACCTGTGGAAGGAAGTTAAGTATTGGATTTCGGACCTTGGGCAGGAAGCATCGGTCAAACTCGATGAAAAGTATGTATTGACACTACAATACATGCTACTGCTGATTCACTGCCTTAGCTTCGATGCCCTTCCACGATGGCCTAATATGACACATTTTTTGTCTGTCATCGCAGTGGATTTCACTGATGGTACAGTTCTTGGGCATCTGTCAAAGGTTCAAGTTGATTTGCACATTCTCGATGATTTTAGGTACTAACACGAACTTAGATGATTATATTCGCGGCACAGGATATCCTCACTTCATCCCACTGTAAACTGGGACACTTACTTCTTTGCTGTGTTTGCTACTACGTTGAGCTCGATATATATACTTCATTGGAAGTCCATACAGAAGACACAATTGCAGCTGGAAAGTTGGCGCTGCAAAAGTTCTCAGAAATAATGGGTGTAAGTCATTGTTTTTTTCTCAAATGTCCTTGACAATGATTGCCCGACATTTCACTAGGAATACATTACCCAATCGCAACCCGAAACCTTCAAAAATTGGAACTTTCCCAAGAAGCACTTGATCTCACACGTATTCGACGATATTTTGGCCAAAGGCGTGACACGCAACTACAATACAAAGCCAAATGAAAAGATGCATGGTGCTTTGCGAAAAATCTACCTTCAGCGCACTAATTTTAAGAATGTTGCTTCTCAGGTTCACCACTTATAACTATCGCGCGAATTTGGGCTAATTAATAGTTTTATTGTTACAGATCCTGCACTACGACGAATGGCTTCTGACCTCAACAACTATGCACACTGAACTCGAAGAACTCGACGAGTACAATCAATGAGACGCTTGTGACCCCAAGATCAATGCAGAACTCGATGAAACCGTGACTATTACTGATGCGCATTCAAGTTTAGGATCGAAGCAAGGCAATCACTGTTTTTCAGATATCACGCGTATGTACAGAACTGATAGAGCCTTCACCGATTTTCGGATGAAGCTGAACAGCTTCCTGAACGTCTTCCTACCACAGAACCATATTCCGTTACCAGACGAAAGACGCATTCACCTGTGCGCAGAGGACATGGTATGTTACTAATGTACTTCACACCCAATTGATTCTATCACTTACACATTTCTATCAGATAACGGAATTTCGGTTCTTGCGGGTTAACTACGAATCGATAGTTGACTGGCGCGTGCACAGAGACTTACTTCAGTGTAATCCGAAGTTCTATGGATCACCTAGGTATGACTGCGTCATGGTTAAAACTGTGGACAAGCCGTTTTTCGCTCGCCTCGTATACATGTTCACCTGCTCGATTGGTGGCACCGATTTCCCCCTTGCCCTTATTCATCCTTATGATGTCAATATTGCCGGTACTCGTCGAAGGCGAGATGACGACATTGGACTATGGCGTGTGTGAGCCAAACCTCGCTCATCCTCTGAGATAATTTCTGTCCAGTCAATCATTCGGGGAGCTGCTCTCGCCAATGATCCTGAAACGGCTGGGGATTATTTTGTCATCCACACTGTGGACACTGACATATTCCTTAGAGTTAAGGCTCTTCAGGCGCAATCAGTCTGAGGCAAGCCATTCTCAATATACCTGGCATCCTATTTCCCATCTCATCCTCTTCTACATACTAAAGATTGCCTTCCTGCATCCTATAACTCCTTCACATGCTCTGTTCACCTCTCTCCATATCATTCGCCCAAGAATGCCTATATTCACACTGACAATCCCGACCTACTACCCACCTTCTCTTTTGGCCCACTCACGCACATGCTCGCAGTCTTCTCATCCCGCCTGCCAGTCGGTGCTTGGACTTGATGCACAGGATCTGGGTGCAGAACCCACATTCATTTGGCACCAGCAATACACCCTTGCATGGCGGTTGGTCGACTCAAGTACTTCATTACTCGCATGATGGTCGTCAAGGCCGCACCACTGATATAACCACAACCATCAGTCATGATCTTTTCAGCTGGGGGCTTTCCTTCACCACAACTCACGCACATGTTCGCAGTCTTCTCATCCTGCCAGTCGGTGCTTGGACTTGATGCACAGGATCTGGGTGCAGAACCCACATTCCTTTGGCACCAGCAATACGCCCTTGCACGGCGGTTGGTCGACTCAAGTACTTCATTACTCGCATGATGGTCATCAAGGCCGCACCACTGATATAACCACAACCATCAGTTGTGATCTTTTCAGCTGGGGGCTTTCCTTCGCCACATGATTGCTTTACAATGTCACATCACATCAACATGGTGCACTCCCGCCATGCATAATTCTCAGCAAAATTCCATCCCATTTCCGTCCTGTCGTCTTCTACACGCCGAAGGAGCTTTGTGGCCTTGGAATGCCTTCAATGGTTCATGTTCTCATCCCACAGATTGACTTGCGATGGTCCAAGCAAACTGATGTCGGAGGTTTGTCCATTCTCTTATTTGATGACCACTCTCTCGCTCACATTGTTTCATTCAAACAGTTACTCATTCCCACGCTGGTATGACCCACGAGGAGGACCAATTGATTCTGAACTTGTACAGATATCTTCAGCCATGAGAGGCAGCGCCGTCGAGAACACAACCGTCAGCGTGATTATCTTGAGGATCATCCAGGCTGTCTTGTCATTGTATGCTTCCGGTCATACCACCAGTATCGTCATGGACTCTGGTGATGGTGTTGACATGTGTCTCCGCGCGCTGGGAGAGATTGGCTGAATCTATGCCAATAGCAGGAGCGAGAGAAGACTGTTCACATGGTTTGGGAGGCACAGAACATCCGCGATGATGAGCGCCGTTGAGAACACAGCCGTTGAGAACACAACCGTCAGTGTGATTATCTTGAGGATCATCTAGGCTGTCTTGTCACTGTATGCTTCCGGTCGTACCACCAGTATCGTCATGGACTCTGGTGACGGTTTCACCCTTCCACATGCCATCCTCCATCTCGATCTTGCTGGTCGTGATCTTACCGACTATCTGTACACTCAGGCATGGATCTAGTATTAACTAGTTCCCCGGTATGAAGAATCTGATCCAGCAGGCCATGGCCAAGATCACGAAGGCCAAGATCATCAAACGTTCACCATTTCACAGATGTAAGTGATCATATTTTGTCATTAAATTACGAGACTTGATCCGTCCGCATGTTGATGTGTAGATTTCAAATGTGTACTATTACACATGGACTGCCTCATGCTGCACTGATGTTGTATGCCTTTACTGCGCCCAAACTACTGTGCCATTGAACTTACTTTTTTTGGTCACAGCCTCATGGCCTCAACAACTCTGAATGAGCTAATAAGCACTGGGTGTCAAACCATGTGTAGGGTAATATTGAGGTCACTCTGAGTCGCTTCTGCCTCAGTTACTAATGACATTGTTCAGATGGAAAGGCCGCTTTGTAATGATACCCGACCACACGACCGCATAAAACAGCATCGACTGTGAGACGGTTTTGACTTGACACCCTGTGACCCACCATCTCAGATTCCTTCCTGTCGCATCAATGCCTGGCTCTGACTCGAATTCAGCATCCTTGAGTTCTCCGGACGAAGGCTCGGACTCAGCAGATGAAGGCATTCAACGGCCTGTGGCTCCACCGAGCGTTGGTGCTTCCATCGAGCACTACCAAGCGGTACATTTTCACTTCTGTTCGTGACAATGTTCTAAATTCTAATGCACTCGATCTACTAGTACGTTAAATATCTCCAACTTCAGCATGAGCAGCTCGAGCGGCGGAATGTATCTCTGAATGAGAGCAACAATGTTCTTATTGTGCAACAGCTGAAACACTTTCGCAAACACCCTCACACATTGTCATCTAAGGTATCATCAGTGTCACAATCGGCATCTACAACACCATCCGCATCGGAATCCGCAGTAACCTCTGTCGCAGCTTCTGATTCATCGAAGACCAGTGATGTCGACAAGCTTATTTTAGGCTTGGCGAAGAAGTATGCAATAACTACTGAGATGTTTCTCCCCGACAAAGTCGTTTTTCAAACGGACTGTCCTGATCCTCCAGTTGATTTCTCGGACCCAAATCATTACGCAAAGAAGTCTGTGGAAAGGGACGCGCTTGTTGCAGAACTCTATGCATCCATCGACCACGTGTTGCACGCTCGGATGCGAACAAACGTGTTCTTCAACCAGGTGCGTAAATTTTCCTACCTCAAGTCATTGTAATGAATGTAACTAAAGCTTCAATTAGTTTGGGAGCGGAATGCAACAGGCTCGCTCGTCATTTCTAAATGGCCTTCGTACCGTCGCAGGTGGTATATTCAATATGCCCAATGAGTATTTCGTTTCAAAATACGATCGTACTTCCCTCCCTCAAGTCACAGACTTAATCGGATGGGAAGCAGGCAAGGGGAAAGTGTACGATATCTTCAAGGCGCCGATTCTCTACCCCGACCACGTCGTGAATGAGAAGAAATGTTTCAAAAACTGGATTGTCATTGCAAAGGTAAGGTCTACTCATCAACAACAGACATTGTCACTCATATTTGGTTTTGAAGGTTATCAAGGTCGCAATATGTGGAAAGATGTCACTGTATCCTAAAGCATGTGGCGGACCACCTCCTTATGCCAAGATATGGCAGCTTACGAGCTGCACTCCTGGCCTAATTGTGTTTGGTGTCACATCAGTAAGTTTTCTGAATCATTGCTCTAAATATAAACTGAGCTGATACTCATCATGTCCTGTAGACCATATTCATCCTATCACCAGACCAAGAATTCTCGGGTGATGGAGTTGGTGCTATTTCCTCGATTGCATATCACTCCATCTTTCGGACAGTCAAGAAATTCTTCGTTGTTAAGTGGACTCACCAGCGCATCAAATCTGTTGTCGAGCAAATCAATGGATACGTCTTTGATGGTGTTGTAAAGACACAGCCATCCAACGACACTCCGTGCGCTGTGGAGCATGTCACTGAATCTCTTGATCGTGTCATGGCTGTGCTGGATGCCAGTGATTCAGACTGGGACAACGAGTCGTTGGAATATGTTGATTTGCAAATGCCAGTTAATAACAAAGATCTACACTATTCCACTCTAGCTGCAACCACTGCAACCTCGGGACCCATCATTGTGGAAGCCATGCCCACTGTCAATGTTCTTCAAGTCAAAGTCGCGGCCCCCATTGACAAGCCTATCATTCAAAATGACCCTATCCCACAGCCTTCTGCTTCAACTCCGTGTCTCGCGACTCCCATAGCGACGCCACACGCAGAGACTTTGGTAGATGCCCAGGATCATATCGAAGGGAGCGAGGATGCATTACTAGTTAGTACTAAATCTTTGCCAGTGGCAAAGGCACCCAGAGGCAGGAAGAAGAAGTCGGCCATTGATTCCACAGCTATGCGCCGCTCCTCACGTCGCCCTGTGGTATGATATCTCTTACTTTATAGTTACCCATGTTTGTTTCTGAATCAGTCCGGTGTCCTTCGAATCAGAAATGCCAATGCAATCTGGTCGTAGTATTTTTAGAATGAGATGTTAATGGTATTACTAATCAATTGCAATGAGTCGAACTTGAACGTTTGAACTTGAACTTCATTCAACACCTTGGCATAATGATCTTGCCCAATTTTTTGCTACCATTCCCCATGATATCTTCGTGTCGCTCTCACTTGAAATGTCTGAGTCATGTAACAGGTCCAGTAAGTTGGTTATTAAGTACCATTTCTTATCATTTAAATTCATTGACATTCATGCATCCTAGATGTCAATGGGTCCAGGAGTCAGCGCAGTCTTCGTGTCTGCCCTAGCACTAGCCTGAACCGCGGCTCTAGTCTAAGGGCTACCCTCTGTACTATCGACGACGACGAACTTCCGACACAAAATTTGTTCTTGAAGTTGACTTTCGCCAATACAAAGTGAGTTTTGCTTTGGCATCATTATTCTCGCCTCTCTGTTCATTTTAACTTACGCACTCAACTGTACCTCTGGACAGAAACTGTGGTCCATGTTGCATGCCACGCACAAGGCCCCAGTCAGCATGCCAGTAAGTTCCAGGCCAGCACAACTTGCTCAGTATTCATCCATACGGTACGTTCAAATCTGATCAGCGCATTATCCATTGACAATCATGCTCTATGACATTCATTTTACCAGAATGTCCTTCCGGTCCCTCCAAATCCTCGCTCATAGCCTCGATTATTTCCATTTCTACAAGGACCTCAGTCAAGTTTACGCGTCCTTCTCGTCTGCAGTGTGAGTCGAGCCGGGCCAGGCTAAGGCTAGCACTCACATGTTTGCCCACTCTGGAGGACCCACCTGCAGATCAAGCACAGTATCTCGCTGCAACTATTCAGCCTATAGTGTCCTTCGTCGTCCTTGGTTCTATCATCTCGTTCGTAAGTAATATCATTATGGGTAGCATTGTACTTGTCGTGGCTGATTTCGAATGTCTGTAGATGGCTTGTCTATCCCGTTCTTCAACGTCAGTCGTAGCGCACACTCTCACACGACTTCGTTAACCAAGGGGTCGATCAACCATTCGCATGTTGTGGGCCCAGTGTGTTAGGTGGACTGGCTGCAGATGCTGTATCCTGTGTTCGTACACTTTCATGATATATCAATGTTTATTTTGATCTGTGAACCACCCTTAGATGTCAATGGGGGCGGGGGCGGGGGCGGGGTATTATGTCTCGTTTCCTTTCGCAACATATTAGTGTACATTAGTTTTTATATCAACTTCTGGGAATTGCAATTGATATGCGACGAATGCTCATTATCACCTTGTTAGAATGAACATTAAGACTCAACCAAATAAGATTAAAATGTGCATTAAGACTACAAGGGCCGCCATTGGGATGTGTATGAAAATTTGGTGGGTACCATTAAAATATCCATTAAGAATAGGTGGACACCATTAAAACGCGCATTACATCATCATTTTAATGCGCATTAAAATGGTGTGATACTCATTAAAATGCTGACTGTTTGATCGTAATGTATTATAATGGGTCCGTGTCGTTAGGCCATTTTAATGGATTAAAATGCTTTTAAAAAAGTTCCGACATGGACTCACGAATGGTGAATGGCAGGAAATGACTTGGATCAGCATGGCTCTTGCTCGAAGGAGGATCGACAGACTCATGAACTGTGAACAGCGGGCAACGACTTGGATCAGCATGGCTCTTGCTTGAAGGAGGATCAACACACCCATGAAGCATGAACAGCGGGCAACAACCTGGATCAGCGTGGCTCTTGCTTGAAGAATGACTGACACACCCACGAAGTGCGAACAGCAGGCAAAGACTTGGATCAGCATGGCTGTTGCTCGAACAAGGAATGACACACTCACTTCCTGTGAATGGTGGGCGACGACTTGGATCAGCATGGCTGTTGCTTGAACGAGGAATGACACACTCACTTCCTGCGAATGGTGGGCGATGACTTGGATCACCATGGCCATTGCTCGAACAAGGAACGACACACTCACTTCCTGCAAATGGTGGGCGACGACTTGGATCAGCATGGCCATTGCTCGAATGAGGAACGACACACTCACTTCCTGCAAATGGTGGGCGACAACTTGGATTAGCATGGCCATTGCTTGAACGAGGAACAACACACTCACTTCCTGCAAATGGTGGGCAACAACTTGGATCAGCATGGCCCAAGCTCAAACGAGGAACGACACACTCACCTCCCCCAAACGGTAGGCAACAACTTGAATCAGTGTGGCTCGAACTCGAACAAGGAATGACACACTCACATACTGTGGACAGTGGGCAACGACTTGGATCGGCCTGAGCTTGAACGAGTCCGAAACATCCAAGTCAAACATTTGTGTATGTTTGTTTATTCCCATGGTTCAACAAACGTTCTTGGACACATCAATGCTTTCTTCCACTGCTCTGCCCCTCCATCTTCTTCAACACAACTTGTCTTGGAATTGCGGTATCTTTCTCTGGTAAGCCACAGAGGTGAGTGTATTCTTTATGTTGCTAACCTACTTTGTTTTTTTACATGGCCTTTTACCTGCCTACTCCACACTGATGGTGTTGCGGCCGTATCCCACTCTTAGACCGTGCGTGATCTCATCTTTTAATCTGCCTACCCGATTCTGATAGTGCCGCAGCCATATCCTGCTCTCAGCCAGTGCATGATCTCGTCTCTTGGTGGACGGTTGACAGTGCCATGTCCTGCCTGTAGGTACTATGTGAGTAAGTCTTTGTTTTTCTTGTCTTTTTTATACTAATAACATCTCCATCAGTTAGCCTGTTATTCTCCTGCTCGCTACTCTCTCCTACTCGCTACTTACTCTCTCCTGCTCGCTACCTACTTTCGCTCGCTCGCTACTTACTCTCACCCGCTCACTAGTACTCATTATATTAGTTACTCCCTCTGAAATTCAGTGTTTTTTGCTTATGATCTTAACAAGAGTTAAATAAGTCTGGAAAGTGTACAATAAGTGAAATAAGTATAATAAGTATCTCTGAATTGTGCTACTGGCACAGCTCACAATGTAGCAATAAGTACGAAATAATTGCCAAAAAAACTAAAATAAGTTTGGAAAAAGTTGAAGTCAAGAGGAGGCATCTGCTTTTTTGACTTATAATTGTCTTGTGGCAAGTTCATGGCAAGTTGATGTTACTGTTCTTATGAATGGCTTTTCCGCTCCTTTTTGGGAATTATCCGGCAGCAAGTTGCAAAAAAGGAAGGTCAAGCAATGTGTGAATTTACTGATGTCATACAAAAAAGTGTACATCATAAACAGTATTGTATTTATTATACAGTAAATTTGCACTAATTCGAAGACCTCCACCGATCCCGACAGGCCATCCAATGAGAATCATTTGTGGCCCTCCAGTAGCCACTTCGGATGTGTGCATAAGTTTCCCTGTCACAGCATTACAAGTGACAATCTGTTCTCGCTGGGCAAAACAACTGTAGCAGTCAATCACAATCTTCCCTTCTTTCCAGACTGCTCTGTGAGAGCAAATATACCAATACTTAGGCTGACTCGATATGAGGTGTGGGTGCCAACTGGGAGAGAGAGATTAGATCTGAGGCATCACAATCACAATTGTGGTCCATCAGCAAACTACAACTTTCCCCACAGAAGGCACACGACTTATGTTCCCACAACAGCTGATCACAGATTTCACAGTTCCGCCGAGAGTCACAGCAAATAGTACCATAAGGTATACATTTATTACAATCACTCACAGTTCAACATGACTCACAGGACTTTGCATTTGAAAGTCGAAGGAGTCCGAGTTTGAATAGCTACTAGTAGTAAGTAGTATATACCAGTACTAGTAATACCATAGAAATGTGAGCTCAATCTTTTATTTCGGACTATGGATGGCTTCAGACAATGCAAAATTACATTCAAACACCGAGATAACAACATGAGCATAAACATTGTATGAACTGTAAGGAAAACACAGTATTAATAGTGCTAGTAGTACACGAGGCTAATATCATAATGTGACATATAGTAGTGCAAACAGTTCATGACAAACAGGTCAGTCAAGCTGGATAGTGAGAGCGTGGCCACTTGGACCTTCTGTCGTAGCAGATAATGAATTTTCTGCACCTGATAAGTACAATTGCTTTCTCTCACAGATCATAAACTTACCGGCACACTGATGATCACTTTTGCATTGTCTTGCAGATAAATGAGACCAGCCATGCTGTTTAAAGGCAAGTCTCATGCACCCCAGGCCCATGTCTGCATCGTCTAGTGTCTTCCCCGTGACATCTACTCGGAATCTGAGCAAGCTCAATAAAACTTCATTTTCCTGTAGTAAACACTCTGCAAGTGCCTTTTGTGCCCGAAATACTTCACGCTTGGCTCGTGCGAGGTCCATAACAAGTTTTGTTTCAGAATTAGTTGGATTCTGTATCAATTGATAAAAATTTAGGTGCCTTCAAGAAATGAGAAATGTAAAATTGACTTTACCAAGGAAGTAATAGCTTCAAGAAGCTCGTAAAAGTCCATCCCACATGTCCCTGGTCTCGCGTCATCATGGTGCTGATGAAGAATGTCGTCAGCTAGACCTGACGCTTTTGTTGATAATGCACGCAGATTGATGGTCATTGTGTATTGAGAAATAGTTTCGGGAAATGCCGGTATTAGTATCAGCCATATTACTGAAGTCTGTGTTTCTTACTAGGCTGAGTGTCTTACTACTAGTATGTCTCATCATGATTCCAGCTGCCCCTCATGCGGCAAAATCTTCAAAGACCACACTTCCATTGCTCGTCATATGAGCCAGCCTCGGTCCGGATGCAACACGTGGTTAGAGGATATGATCAACTCCATTTCACCTGGTGAAGATCATAACATGGGCTCTGCAGATGACGAGGCCTTCGCTGGACTTCCTTGTGATGTTTCTTATGATCTGGGACTTGGAGGCGAGGAAAATTTTCATTATTTCGGTGCAGGAGGAGAGGACATCCCTGATGGAAATAAAGTGCATGCTGGTGAAGTAATCGACTAATTTCCAGAGCCTACTCTGGCCTATGAGGACAGCTACACATTTCTGGGGCTGTTTGATGCGGATGAAAACAGCGTATATCAGAAAACGAACCTCTATTATCTGTTTAGCAGTCGACAAGATTGGCAACTTGCAGCATGGCTCTTACATTCAGGCCTAAGCATGGGGAAGATTGACTCTTTTCTATCACTCGAAATGGTCAGTTTGTCTACTTCACTTTCACTGCTAACGATTCACGTCTTTTTAGATCAAGGATTTACCCTTGTCATTCCGCTCCACCAGAGAACTATGCAGTCAAGCTGAGATGCTGCCCAGTGGTCCATGCTGGAAGTCTCAAGTCATTCATACATCGCATCCTACAAAGTCGCCAGTCATTCTGTACTGGCATGACCCTATTGAATGTATCGCCAGCATCTTCAATCACCCACTGTTTCACCGTCATATGGATCTCATGCCTCGCAAGATTTACTCTACTGCAGAGAAACTATGTCATGTATACACCAGATGGATGTCAGGAAACGACACATGGGATATGCAAGTGAGTAGATAGTCAAATATTGAGGTCTGGTACTCATGTATTCTTAAAGTCGGCAATACCCAAGGGTGCAACCCTCCTTGGCACCATTCTCTCCTCTGACAAGACAAACATCACTGCATTAACAGGGGATCATGTAGCTCATCCGCTCCTAATTAGCCTCTCCAACATCCATATGAATGTACACTTGAAATCGTCAACCAACTCTTTCGTTCTCACTGCCCTGTTACCAGTCCCCGAGTTCATTCACAAGAAAAAGTGAATGAAGGGTGTATTGGAGGATCGCCTTATACATCAATGCCTCAATATCGTTCTTGAGCCGCTCAAGCAATCCACTCAACATGGTGTCATGCTGTCTGATCCTATCAGATGCAGTCGGTATTGCTTCACTGCTCTCATGAGCTATATCACCGACACCCCCGAGGCCATGATGCTGGCAGTCATTGGTGGAAAAACATCGCCAGTGATGATGGCAATGTATAAGCAGTTCAGGGATGCATTCCATCATGAACCCCAGACAAAATCAATGATGATTGCACAGCTCGCTGTTGTGTGCTCATGTGCTGATCCTGATGATCTCGAGGCATATTTCCGTGAGGCACATAAATTCTGACTGAATGGTGTCGACAAACTGTTCTGGTGGGACTATGCACTAGCAGACCCCTCCCGGTTTCTTATACTGGAATCACTCCATCATCATAAAGAATTCTTTGACCATGACACCCAATGGCTCATTCGCGCTGTTGGAGATTCTGAAATAGACTTCTGGTTCTCAGTGTTACAGCCCATCACCAGTTATCGACACTTTTACGGTGGCATCTCCAAATTAAAACAAGTCACTGGTCGCTGTGAACAAGAAATTCAATGTTATATCATCGCTATCAGTGTGGATGCAGCACCTCCTTGTGTCATCACTGCTGTACGTGCACTCATGCAGTTCCGGTATCTCATACAGTCGCCACATACAGTGGCTCAAAAAAGTGTCTCAATGTTTGTTGGTTTTCATGTAATTGCTTTCTTATGAGTCAGGGTGTGGGAATCTGACTATGCTATAGGGAGGTGTCAGAAAGGTCCACCTCCCAGCTATATTTATGTTCCCTATAGTGTGGGAGGCCGACACTACCGTGTGAAGATATGGACATTTTGATTTGATGACTCATTGAGACACTTTTTTGACTTTAATTTTTTTTAGATAAATCAGATCACCTAGACAAAATATCATTACTAAATATTTCAAAAAATGGTGTCATATTAATTATATGGTCTGATTTTAATATCTGACATTTATATAAGTACAAGCTAAACCATGAAATCCTTCATAATCCTTATGAAGTTTATCTCTCCTGCTCAAAAGGATAATATCCTTGTTCTTACCTCCTCTGGTCTATCTACTAGACAGATTGCTTCCAAAACTGGTCTTAGCAGGGCTACTATTGCTAGAGTCATCAAGAAGTCTATTCCAAACAAAGAAAATATCAATATGGGATGTCCCTCTAAGCTCACCCCTCATGACAAAAGAGCTATTGCCCATTCTATTCTATCTGGAGAAGCTTCAAATGCTGTTCAAGCCACCAAACTCATTAATTCCATCATCCCCTCCACTGTCTCCACCCAAACAGTAAGAAATACTCTCAAGGCAGCTAACCTGAAAGCTGTAACCAAGAAGAAGAAACCACTTCTTTCACCAGCTCATAGGAAGAAGAGACTAGCCTTTGCTCTAAAGCACCAACACTGGACTATTGAGGACTGGAAGAGGGTTATTTGGTTAGATGAGACCAAAATCAATAGACTAGGGTCAGATGGTCAGGAATATGTATGGAAAAAGGCAGGAGAACCACTAGGAGAAAGAGAGGTGAAAGGCACACTAAATTTTGGAGGGGGAAACTTGATGGTATGGGGCTGGATGGGATGGAATGGAGTGGGGATTTTGTGTGAGGTGGAGGGGAGGATGAATGCAAAGCAGTATGTCTCCATTCTAGAGGAGTGTCTGCTCAGAAGCATGCAGGAGTCAGGTGTTGATGAAGAAGACATCATTTTCCAGCAGGACAATGATCCCAAGCATACCTCAAAACTGGCCACCAAATGGTTTGAAGACCATGATATCAATGTTCTATCATGGCCAGCACAGTCTCCAGACCTCAATCCTATTGAACATCTCTGGGAATTACTCAAAAGACTACTTGCTGCCTATCAAGATTCTCCAAAGGGGCTATTTGAACTATGGGAGAGAGTTGTGGTAGAGTGGAAAAGAATTACCAAAGAGGAATGTCAGAGATTGATAGAAAGTATGCCCAGAAGAATAGCAGCAGTGATTAAAGCCAAGGGAGGTAACACAAAGTACTAGAATTATAAAGATTGTATTGGTCAAACTTAAAGTCAAAAAGTGTCTCAATGAGTCATCAAATTAAAATGTCCATATCTTCACACGGTAGCGTCGGCCTCCCACGCTATAGGGAACATAAATATAGCTGGGAGGTGGACCTTTCTGACACCTTCCTATAGCATAGTCAGATTCCCACACCCTGACTCATAAGAAAGCAATTACATGAAAACCAACCAACATTGAGACACTTTTTTGAGCCACTGTATTGACAAGGAAGATCTTGGGCGCATCTCAGGTGCTCTAACTGAGTTTCACATGAACAAGGATGCAATCCTTGCTGCTGGGGCTCATCGGGGGAAGGATAATAGAAACATCGACAACTTTTATATTCCCAAGCTAGAGCTAATGCAGAGTATCATTCCCAGCATTCGCAACTCTGATGTCATAGGACAGTGGTCTGCCGACATCACTGAACATGCCCACATTACGGAGATCAAAGACCCTGCCAGATCAAGCAATAACAACAATTACAACACACAAATTTATCGACACCTCGACCGTACTGAAAAATGTCATCATTTTGAGCTCGCCACTAGCCTTCTGGATCACGGACAGAGGGGTGAGGAAGAGGGGTTTGACTTGGATGCTGAAGATAGCGATATTGAAGCTGATGTTGGCACAGAAGATGTTCCTATCAACCCAGCTCAACACCCACACCAAACTACAAATTACTTTGCAATTGTGAAGGCACTTCAGCATTGAGAAGTGGGTTCTGTGCCTGTACCACCTCGCTCCTTTGTTGACAAATGCACTGCCTTTCATCTTGGATATGACCCCTCCATTCGGAGCATCACCATTGATGAAGTCGCAATTAAATTTGGCTTACCAGATCTATGACCAGCCATAGCTGATTTCCTTCAATGTGAGGCAGCTTATGGACACCAGCATGTTTATTCAATAAGCGGCCCCAGAAGGGCTGGATCTACTGCCATCCTCCTGTTCAACAAAGTACAAGTCTGGTTCAAAATTTGCTTGCAGGAGATGGACTTCCACGACACTCACACAATCAAACCAGCTCAGACGCTAAATTGTGTACCACCAAACAACCCGTGGATTCTAGGCTGTTATGATACAGTCATTGTTGAGACCAGTGCAGGCTACCCATGGCCTAGTAGTCATCTTTCGGGTACTTTCTGTCTTGTGTTACAATAAATGTATGTTTACTCACTGTTACAGGTCATACAATCACGCAGATTAGACTCATTATGCGACCCATTGGCAAGAGTGGTACACAATGGTCCTGGAAGGATTGGTTCCTCATGTATGTCCAAGATTTTGATCTTTCAAATGATTATGATCCAGCCACATGGCTTTACACACTGAAGTGAGCGAAACACTTGAATGGAAACTGGATGGGCGACATTATTCTGGTATCTCAATTGAGGGCTCCTGTTCAACTGGTCCCTCGCTTTGGCGCCACTGCTGACAAGCATCTCTCAGCATATAACAGTTTAGAGCATGCTGCTGAGTTTTGGCTGAATGAATATTGGGATAAAAGCACCTTCTTTGTGCTATCAGCCTAAGATTTGATACAAGATAGGGTCATTTTTGTAGTAGACATGCCAAATGGATCAAAGATTGTTCTCGTACCTGTATCCATGCATTCATACTAGTGCTCCCTCATGCCACTCGGTAAACATTTCTGCTCAGTGGGCCTCGGGATGAAGCTGACATTTTTGATGTCAGCTCCTGAGGTTCACGATATAACAACAATGGATTGACTCACCAGCTTGGAACTTATTCACTTGATTTTGCAGGAATCTTCACCTGCCAACAGTGATGAGCTCGGCCATGTATTATTGCTAATTTTCAAGTCCTGTATGACTGAAGTTCCCAGAGTGAAGGATCTCAAAGTTCCATTGAAGAAAAACCACCCTGATACCAGGATCAAAGCATTTCAGCACATTGAAGATGAAGCAACCCTTGTACCACTCTATGACACGCATACATGTCGTTGGAACTGGCCACTCCCAGAGTCACATTTAGATAAACTCGCTGCCAGTGGGGAGAGAAGTAATCAGGCAAGAGAGAACAGTAGCATGGACCAGGGAGAGAGGGAAGGAGAAAATAGTGGTGCCACAGATCAGAGGTCGGGAGATTGGGATATCATCGATGACACTGGTGCACCTGCTGCCTCTGAGTCACAGATTGAGAGTCTTAGCCAGCCTGAGGACGACATAATGTCAACAAATGCCAGCTCTGCCAGTAGTGACAAAGCCCCAGTGCTCCATGCAATTGACCGCAATTCTACAAAACCATGGATGACCGAACAGGTTTTTGCATCCTTCAATAACCTTCTTACCTTTGCCCTCCTCCTGCAGAAGCCTGCACTTGCTCAGAAGCACAACTTATCTCATATCTGGAGTGCATCGAACTCCTTGTCCATAATATGTGGCGATGAAATCGCACGCAAACCAGACCTCACCCTGCTTGATGATATCGAGGCTAGATGGGATACAATCAAGGCCATATGTGAGCTGACTTCAAGTGCCTACTTACCTTCACATCCCCTTGCCAAAACTCTTGACACCAAGGCTTACCTGCTTCTCAAACACCAACTGTGGAGACATTTTGCACTGTTGGTCTCCATTTGCAATGGGTATCGCGAGCTTCGCATCCATCTATATGACCACTCGGGCGGAGTTGTCAGCCCTTGCACACATATCAATCGAGAGCTGGACAAGTACTTATGGATATTTTCATCCATTGTCTTCGGCAATCTCGAGTGTATCAGACTCAACCCCACAATTACTATCTTGAAACACATGCTTCATCGCATACTTCGATCCCCTGATTTCCGTGTTGCCAAACCCTCACCTTCTCCTCACCAGACTGCTGAAGTGATCCCAGATGCACTGATCATGGAGAGCGAGACCACCGAGATCGAAGAGATCGTGAGCGAGCCCTCACATACCATAGAGGATGCGGTGCCCAACCCCACAGCCAACATCCCTCCAAACCTGGTTCCCCTCATAGACAAAGTCCCTAGCGATTCTTTGAGTGGACCCCTCCCAGAGCCAATAGGAAAAATACGAGTAAATGAGAATACATACAATATCCTGGATCTAATATTCTCCACTCAAGGTCTTGTTGGTCGTGGCACAGTGTGCTATCTGGCGAGAAAGGATGAGGAAGAGTATATTGTCAAGGATCACTGGGTCCTCGGGAGTAAATCAGAGGTCCTGAATGAAATTTGTATGATGGAGAAAATGGATGGGATCTGTGGTGTTCCTCGCCTTGTCGAATATTGGCTTGTGGAGATGGAACCTGGCAAGGTTGACAAAACAGTGAAGTATTGTCAAAAGGTCCTGCGCAGCATAAAGGGCACCTCCCATACACATGTTCACCTGGTCTTGAAGCCCCACGTGCAACCCTTGTATAAATTCCATTTGCGCGCAGAGTTCTTGACCTTGATACTGGATATTATTAAGAGTAAGTGATTTTGATCGTATGTACCTAACCATTGCACTCACAAAATATTCAGTTCAGAAACAAGTGGTAGAGCAGAACTGGGTTCTTCATCGTGATTGTAGTTTGAATAATGGAATGATTGAAGATGATGGTGATGGCACCCATGGGATGTTGATAGATTGGGAGTTTGCTGTAGACATTGTACGAGGCAATCAGTACAGTGTTGGGGGCACAGTTAGTGTTTTGATTTGTTTCTAGGATATGAATTTAAATCAATATCATCTTACAACCTCAGGGCACAGTACCTTTCATGTCGTGGTCCCTTCTCTTCCAGCTTTACCTCCACACACTGGATCCATCCGATGAGCGCTTGGGTACATGAGCCTCATGATCAAAACCATACCCACCCCCCATGGTCACACATGTCTATCAGGATGATCTCGAATCAATGTTTTATGTTTTCATCTGGGTCTGCATCAAATTCAGGGGCCCTCTCAGCATGAAGTGTGTTCTCCCTACTATTCTCCCACAGTATTCATTACAGCACATCAAATGGATAATGCAAGAATGGTCCGCGTCCACATACCAAAAGTGCGGGGACAGCAAGACTTGATTTTTTCATCAATCTGAACATCACACTAAGGAACTCTCCTGACAATTTGATCCCTACTTTGAATCTCTTCTTCCACTCGCGTTAGAGTGGTATGACCTCATTAAAAAGCCTAATCAGTTGCATTTCGATAATGTAATTGATCTGCTGGGTAGACACATCGCTGCACTTCTGAAGGAGGACTCTCCTGGGCTCCTAGTCTCCAAATGGGTAATTCTCTCAGCGGCAGGTTCACTCATGCCACCCCAGAACAATGAGGAAAGTGTGTCACCACCTGTCGATGAGACACGACAGAAGCAAGTGGTTGATCACTGGTGGATGATGGAAGCCATACCCAAGCTGAAGAGGAACAAAACTGAGTAGAGTTTGATTGAATAGTAATACATACCTGACACATTTACATATGTTGATATCTGATACAAGTATGAGTCACATGATATTCCCATTATGTACTTAGTGTAAAATAAAGCATGTATCATTACTACTACCTTTGACATGCTCAGTCACACTCTCTACATGCAGGCAGCACTTGACTCATATTTCCGAAAGAAATTACATTCAGCTTTGCAAGATTCTCTCACATTACCTGCAAGCACCAGAGATATTCGACATGTATTTGTGATTGTCTGATTATGAGTCAAACTTTTCCGAGCCTTAAAAGTTGGTGTGTATCTCCCAGTGATTTACTCATACTGATTGTATCACTATTTGAGCCCCTTCAGTGACAAATTCCGTATTATACGGGCCACCCGACCTCCATAATATCCCGTATGAGACGGGCCAGCTGATCATGGGCCCATGTTGTGTATATTCTCGATGATGACGGATGGGCCGGGACTCATATTATTTCCGATGGAGACGGGTGGGCCCATGTATGCCAATGATATATATATCCTTAATGTTGACGGATGGGCCGGGGGAATATGATCATTCATGGAGATGGGTGGGCCCATCTGGGTAATATGTAGAGTAGGATATTATAGACAGCTGGGCTGAAGAGAGATGTAAGGCAAATATTGTTATATAGACGGGCGGGCCGACGTGGGTGTATTACATATATGGGTGGGCCGAGGTAGGGGAATATTACATAGACGGGTGGGCTGACGTAGGGTGTATTACATATACAGGTGGGCCGATGTGGAATGTATTACATATACGGGTGGGCTGACGAAAGAGATATCAAATAGACCGGTGGGCCGAGGGTGCTATAAAATATTTATTACATAGACAGGTGGGCCGAGGTGGGGTATAATTATATAGACGGGTGGGCCGATGTAGGATGTATTATATAGACGGGTGGGCCAACATAGGATGTATCACATAGACGGGTCGGCCGACGTGGGGGATAATACATAGACGGGCGGGCAGACGGGGGTGTATTACATATATGGGTGAGCCTAGATATGTTCCATCAAGACATACAGCTGATGTAGCCACCAGCGAATCAAACACATAGGATACATGTACACTATGAGTGCATATACCTACCATCAACCACCAAATCCAAACCCCTAAGCACAAAAACATGAATCTATCATGTGTGGCATTGACCAATAATCCAGGACTGAAGTGGAAAAACCCCACACCTGAACCCTGGTGTGCAACAAATCCTATTTCTAAGCATGGACACCAGAAGCACAACACTCACAAAAATATATATGTCAAATTTTCAGTGCCAAACCCCAAACCGAGATGTACAGTGGCTCAAAAAAGTGTCCCAATGTTTGTAGCTTTTCATGTAATTGCTATATCATGTGTCGAGACGTGGGAATATGACTAAGCTTTAGGGAGATGTCGGAAAGGTCTGCATCTCAGCTTCATTTCGGTTCCCTATACCGTGGGAAACTAATGACATTATGTGAAGATATGAGTATTTTAATTTGATGACTCATTGGGACACTTTTTTGACTTTGAGTTTTACTAATGTAATCTCTATAATTCTAGTACTGTGTGTGACCTCCTTCTGCTCCAATCACTTCTGCCACTCTTCTAAACATATTCTCTATCAATTTTGGGTATTTCTCTTTGGTGATTCCATCATACTCTGCTGTAACACTGTCTCATAGTTGGAATAGCCCCTATAGTGAATCTTGATATGCTACAAGTAATTTCTTGAGTGATTCTCAGGGGTATTCAATATGGTTGATGTCTTGGGTCTATGTTGAACATGATAGAATAGTAATATTATGGTCTTTAAGTTATTTGGTAGCCAATCTAGAAGGTTGCTCTATAAGACTTAAGATCTCTTAATCACTATATTCTAATTGGAAAGACTGCTGATGCTAATAAAGTGATTAAATTGATTATTTCCATCATTCCTATGACTATCTCTACTCAAATAGTCAGACAGACTCTCAAGACAGCCCATCTTAAAGCTATAATCAAGAAAAACAGATTCCTCTGTCTCCAACCTATAAAAATAAAAGACAAGATGCTACTTTCAAGTACAAATATCGGACTGCTAATAGCTGAAAGAGGTTTATCTAGTTAGATAAGGTTAAAATCAATAGGATGAAATCATATGGCAAGGAATTTATATTAAAATAGATAAGACAATCATTAAGATAAAGAAAAGTTAAATAAACACCTTAAGTTTCAAGACAAAACTTGATGGTATAGGACTATATGAGATAAAATGGAGTGGGAATCTTCTATGAAGCAAAGGGGAGGATGAATACAGAGTAGTAAATACTCATTTGACAGGAGTGTCTGCTAAGAAGCATGCAGAAGTTATGATTTAATGAAGAAGATACTGTTTTGTGATAAGACAATGACCCTAAGTATACCTCTAAATAAGCCACCAATAGCTTGCAAACCATGATATTACTATTCTATCATGTTCAACATAGACCCAAGACATCAACCATATTGAATACCCCTGAGAATCACTCAAGAAATTACTTGTAGCATATCAAGATTCACTGTAGGGGCTATTCCAACTATGAGACAGTGTTACAGCAGAGTATGATGGAATCACCAAAGAGAAATACCCAAAATTGATAGAGAATATGTTTAGAAGAGTGGCAGAAGTGATTGGAGCAGAAGGAGGTCACACACAGTACTAGAATTATAGAGATTACATTAGTAAAAACTCAAAGTCAAAAAAGTGTCCCAATGAGTCATCAAATTAAAATACTCATATCTTCACATAATGTCATTAGTTTCCCACGGTATAGGGAACCGAAATGAAGCTGAGATGCAGACCTTTCCGACATCTCCCTAAAGCTTAGTCATATTCCCACGTCTCGACACATGATATAGCAATTACATGAAAAGCTACAAACATTGGGACACTTTTTTGAGCCACTGTACCAACCCCCGAACCCCGAAACCCGAGAGTGCCGGGTCTCGGGTCTCGGGTGTCCGGAACTCGGAACTTGGGAGAATTTGGGGAGATCAATACAATTTAATTTACAATCGAGTTGATTGACAACACATTGACTTACCCATGTTTTGCAATATATTTTTGTTTAGACATACCGAGTTCCGAGTTCCGGACACCGGAGACCCGAGACTGCCGGGTCTCGGGTGTCCGAAACTCGGAACTGGGGAAAATTTGGGGAGATCAATACAATTTGATTCACAATCAAGTTGATTGACAACACATTGAATTAACTATGTTTGCAATATATTTTTGTTTAGACATACCGAGTTCCGAGTTCCGGACACCCGAGACCCGAGACCCGGCAGTCTCAGGTCTCGGAACTCGGTATGTCTAAACAAAAATATATTGCAAACATAGTTAATTCAATGTGTTGTCAATCAACTTGATTGTGAATCAAATTGTATTGATCTCCCCAAATTTTCCCCAGTTCCGAGTTCCGGACACCTGAGACCCGGCAGTCTCGGGTCTCGGGTCTCCGGTGTCCGGAACTCGGAACTCGGTATGTCTAAACAAAAATATATTGCAAAACATGGGTAAGTCAATGTGTTGTCAATCAACTCGATTGTAAATTAAATTGTATTGATCTCCCCAAATTCTCCCAAGTTCCGAGTTCCGGACACCCGAGACCCGAGACCCGGCACTCTCGTGTTTCGGGGTTTGGGGGTTGGTACATCTCGGTTTGGGGTTTGGGGGTTAGTAAAATGTTTACAGATATACATAGGTTGATTTAAACATGTCTGGAAGATGTCGTTCATCTAAAATGTCAAATCCTGAGTTCCGGGTGTCAGGACTCGGTACCCGGCACCCGGGACTCGGGGTTCGGCACTAATAATTTGACATTCGGGTGTTTGGGTTTTGGGTGATATCTACCTCAATCTGCAGTTTCGAGTTCTGGATATCGGGAGTGATCATTGAATGATTCAATTGTGGCATAGGTAACATGCATGGAAAAACATTTATGTACATCTATCACTGAGCAATTATGTAGCCATGTCAACCTCCTCACCAGGAAGATCAACCTTTCCCTCAACATCCATCTCCTCATCAGAAGAATCATATTCTGGCAGGAGGTTACCTGGTTCATTAGGGACCACAATATCGCTGGGGGATT